ACATACTTTCCAGAAGGCCAACAATTCACTAAAATTGTTTTTTTTATTGGTCTTATGAAGTATTCTAATTTGTTGAGATAGTGAATTGGTGGGTTTTTGTTAAATGTGAGCCAAAATCATCACAATTAAAAGAACCAAAGATTTAAACTACTTCAGTCTGTGTGCATTGAATTTAATTAATACACAAGTTTCACAATTTGAGTTGAATTACTGAAATAAATGAACTTTTCCATGACATTCTAATTTATTGAGATGCACCTGTATATATATAAATATATGCATAGCTTTTTACAATATGTATATAAAGAACAAAATAATAGGGCAGACATGTATTTCAACAAATTTATACAAAGTATTATTCTAATAAATTAGATACTGTATATATTGTATACATTATATATCTTAATTGAATGTAATCCATGCGCTATGCAAATAAAATGCACCTGTCTAGTGTCTCCTCTGTGACTTTGAGTCCTGAAAACTTGATTTCTGCAGGAATCAGGTGATGAAGAATATAAGGGCGACTTGTCTGAAACGGAAGATGAAGTGGACAGTGACTTTGACATTGATGAAGGGGATGAACCTGACAGCGAGCAGGAGGAGGATGGGCCACGTCGGAAGAGCAGAGTGGTGACCGAAGCCTACAAGGTATAGGAGGGTTACTAAGAAAAAGAACCATAAACCCATCATAAAAAACTACCATTAATAGCTTCAGATGACTGGGAATATAATGCATGAGTCATATGGACTAGTTTTATGATTCATTTATGGTGCTTTTGCATCCTTTTTGATGTTTCAGTCCTTATTCTTTGTAATTGTGTATAAAAGAGTGACCAGTACGTTCTGTACATAAAGTAAATAATGGCAGATCATTTACATATTTTTACACCACTTGTAATCCAAAACAACGGAAACTGGTTGAACTGACCAGGAGGACAGACAAGACAAAGATCAACAAATACAACCCCCTGAACTACAGGAGGACATCAGCAAAAGTGAGAGTTTTGCACTTTATTTACACATGCACATGTGACATAACCAGACATACACAACAGAAGTTTTGTCAATAGTGTAACAAGTATATGGTATGTATGTATGTATGTATATGGTAAAAGTATATGTCATTAGATGCAAAAGTATGGGAATATACTGGAAAATATAATGCAATATATGAAATAATACTATTATATTTTTTTACATGTATATCTTTATTAAAACACTAATAATTCATTAATTTATTTTTCATGAATTAATGCATAGATGTACATAAAGCTGAACATATTCATAAACTTTTGTCTCAATTTATTGTTTGCATAGTTACATTGGTGGTTGGTGGAAAATGAGATGACATTACATGTTTAACTTGATGGATTGAGTGATTTATACATTCATTATAAGAAAAGACAAGTGATAATTCAATATGTTGTAATATGTTAACAATATATTATTCTTTATATTTTCATATTTTCAAAGAATTTTATGTATGTGTGAAAATATATCAGTTATTCTGATTTATCAATTTTGTTGCATTCTGTTTTATGTGATTAGTTGCTTAAAATCTATTTTCTTTATTATTTTTATGCAATGATTCACAAACAGTATTATTTTATTATTATTATTATTATTTATTTATTTATTATTTTTAAACATATTTACCCTTCCTTTTTCCTAGATATGACTGCCGTAAAAATTGTTTTTATGAAGAAAGCAAACAGTATATATCAACAACATTATCCAACAGGAAGTGAATGGATGGTAATGATAACAGAGGTTTCCAAAAATAATAAAACATTTCAATGAACCTCTGATTGGACATTTACAATATACTCATAAAGCACAAACAAAATAACATCAGGTTCTGAAGTCATTGTTTCTTCTTCATGTGAATTAGATTCCAGTGCAATAAAACGTGTTTGTTGGCTAGCTGTCAGTGAGTCAGGTTTACATCCCTTCCTTAAACACCAACAACTTAAGCACGTGGCGACCACATCATAAACTACGGAGAATGTGTCATAGTACATTTTAGTAAACTTTGAAATTGTTTTGGTCTTAGACAGGAAGTCGGTACGTCAGTCAACAACAGAACACACATGGCTGACGTACCTAAGGCTGCAAGAGAGGTAGGTTGCTCCACATCGAAGAAAGGGTACTAGACATGAGCGACCTTTGACCCAGGTGGAACTTTTGGCAGAGGCCAAGATCATAGCACAGATTAATCTTCGATCACTGGGTAAGGAATTGATAACTGATAACTGCAAATTGTTCTGTCTATAAAACCTGAATGCTCATAGCTGTTAATGAATTTTTTTGGCAGAAAACTATGAGCGTTTAGAGGCAGATAAGAAACGACAGGTTCATATGAAGCGTCAGTGTGTGGGTCCTGTTATCCGCTTTCACTCTGTGCTCATGCCCCTGGTGTCTGATGTCACTCTTAAAGAGGAAAATGTGGATGTAGAGGGGTACTTCACCTAGTTCCTCATCTCTTCCTGGATGTTTAATTTTTACTTCTCTTGCATTTTAGACTTAAGACTTTTATTGTCTTTCAGTGGGTGTGTACACTATGTATCTATTTAACCTTTATATTGCCTGGTGCTTAAAAATAAGTAAATAAGTGTTCTCATGTTTACAAATACTCCTCCATTCATTGATTTGACCTAAAAAGACAGAATCAAAAGTATATGATTTTTTTTCTGTTTAGTTTTGCTTCTTATGTGTGCATGCATCATTTTAAACATTTTTCATAACAACTATTTAATGTGTAAAATATATATATTTTTAATTTAAACAAACATGTTAAACATGCTTTTTTAAGTATAATATAAATAGAATAAACAATTTAAAAATCACATGAAATTTTTAATGTTTTTTCAAAAACTTTCATTTTATACAAATTAAAAATTGTAATCATGCTGTTGGCTTCACTGTTTAACTGTGTCATCTTAGGGTACAGATGTAGTTGTGCCAAAAAATGTAACTTTATTACTGAAAATGTATTAATTAAGATTAATTTATAATAACTAAAAACTTAAAGATTGAAGGTTGATTTTTATCTTGGTTATGGTTGTGGAAAAAAACATACATATACAGTATATATATATATATATACACACAATTAATTTGTCTATACACATCATATACACATAATTGTAAAACTGTTTAAAAATTGTAATTAGAAAAAAATGAGTGTACCTCTATTTTTGTCTTTATAGCTCTTAAATTTATATTTTTTAACATTACGTCAGTTAACAGTTTGGACCAAGACGCCCAGCAGAATCCAGGCCCTCATCCTCCACAAGCTTTTCCCCAGTCAGAATCAACTCTTACTGCGCCGCCTAGTGTCCTCTCCACTAATGCAGCTGCTGTAAACCCTTCCCTGTCATCAGTGCCTGCCAAATGCTCCAGTGAAGATGAATCCTTCCATTTCTTTCCCCAGTCCCTAACTCCTCGAATTCCTGTCCAGGAGATCTGGCCCTGTTACACATAAGCCTGCGCTCTACCGAGACCCCATCACAGACATTCCCTACGCTAATGTACAAGCCTTTAGGATCATCCGGGAAGCCTATAAAAAGTATGTGGCTACCCATGGCCTGCCCTGCACTGGCACAGCGACTCCAGCTGACTCCACTGCAAAAAATCTGCGCCAGAAGGTCATTATTAAACAAGGCATGTAGAACAATACACAAGTAAGATGGACAAGTAGGTAGTGAAAGAGAACAGAGGAAATCAATCAGTCAGTCAATCAGGGGTGGTTTCTTCATTAGGGCGATAGGGTGATGCACCACCAAAGTGTGAAGGAGGGATTTTCTTCTATCAAATTCAACCACAGTGTTATAGCTGTCACTGTTCTAGAATGTTTGTTCTGCCTTTGGACATTCCTCTCTTAATTATCTTTAAGCTGAAGTCAGGACTAGTCTATATGGCCTGAATAAAGCAAACCAACTTACCAGTAAAGTTTTGATGGATGACGATTGTTATGGAGGTAAAGAAGATTACAGTGACATACGAGAGTCATACATTATTAGACATGCGAGTCCGTTATTATTAGTGTGCAAATAAACAGACCGTGTGTGCGCTCTTGATAGCTTTTTGCATGAGCATATTTCAGTATGATTGCATGTCTGGCAGGTGTTTTATAATGGACACTCGCTGAAGAAGTGTGTTTTTATAGGAGTTTGCAATGGTCAGTGTTTATACATATGGGCATCAACACTCACTCTGACACTGGAACTGATCACTGGTCATGTTGAGCTGCCTTCAGATCGCCACATTTGAAATTCTTGAAACTTGTGTTTTGCTCAGTTTAATAATTCTGAATGGATCCATACATATTTATATACAGTCCGGTTAAGGCGACTGGTATAGTGGTCTGTTGGCATCTCCATTTGGTATTGCAGCTTGACTAGTTACAGAAAATGCTCTACACAAATGTGACATTTTTTTCTCACAGTTTTTGCTATTGCACTGTATACGTAAATTGTGAATTATGAAAATTTTAAAAATATTTCTATCTAGCTATCTATCTACCTATCTACCTATCTTCATAATTGTTTTATGATTTATTTCTTTAATGCACTGTTTAATGTACTTTATTATGTAGTAATATGTATTTATGATGTGTTCGTATTTTTAAAAACAGCATTAAAGATTGCTGTCATATAGCCTTTTAGATGTCATTATTTTTTATAATAATTAAGAAAAATGTGGGTCATCTATAAAATGAGCTCATGTTGGAAAGATCCCACTAACTACTAAATGCAGCCAATGTAAAAACTTCAACATTAAATTCGAAACAGAGATAGAAGATCTTCAAACTGGGGTCTCTCTGACTTGCAATACCGCCTCTATACCCTAGAGGGCACTCCTCTCTACTAAAATGTCACGCGTTTAACGAGTAAACCTGAATTAATCAAACAGATGACTACATGGAGCCTCTCTCTGTCCCTCTGTTTCATAGTCACTAATCTCTCAAAGCCCAAATAATGAAATGCTGACCTCATGAAGAGTAGCTCGTATCCCTGTCTCAGCTCAACCCAGATAGCAGGCGAGCGAAGAAGGAAGGGCTTAAGGGGGGAACGGCTACCGGGGAGGGGGGCGACCGAGGGCTATTCTCTGATTTCAAACATAGAGTTGCTGTACAGAAGATCCCAGCAGCTCTGAGTCCTAGTGAGGGTAGGTAACACACTAACTGTCTTTCTATAATCTGTGTCTGTGTGTCTCTTTTAGCACCAGGACCACATTATTATACGTTTTTTGGACACTGCATATAGTTATGTATAGTAAGCAGGATTTGCTTTTTTTACTGACTATTTTATTTATTTAAATTTTAAAATGCACTTATTGTTGCAGTCAGCTACTAATTGCGTGAATTATTGTTTTGGTGATTTTGTTGAAGCAATCATTTTAGTGTAGTTCATGGATAGGGGCCCCAGTGGGTGGTTTGTAGTGTAAAGTGTATAGTAAAAGTTAAAGGTCCAGTTAGTAGATAGTTAGAGACTCTAGATCTTGTTGGATTAGTTGGATAATTTTTTGGTTAAGGCTTTATGGAGAACAGTGTTTTGCAGAGTCTTCCTGCAGATGCACCTGTTGATGTGAGTGCATGTCAAAACAACAATCCTTAGCAATCTTTAAACAATCTTTCTTTTATTTCAAAATAAGTTTTTAATACTGGTGATTGTCATCCTTTCTTTGGTGGTATAATGTTCTTAGACATTTTATTTATTTTTTCAAAACAGCCCTTATTTTCCCAGCCAGCCTTGCTTTGCAGTACTGCTGTACACTGCAGCTTTGCAAGCGGAGAGGATTTACGCAGCTGGAAGTAGCTGACTTGTGAAGCTAAAATTAATCTGAGGGTTGATTTGGAATTTTACACTTGGGTGATTCGGCTTGGTGAAGTCAACCTACAAATAGTGGGAGGTCTTATGAGCTGTGTGTCAGCTGGAAAATGCTGAATGATCAAACTCCATAACTGAACTATGGATCTGAATAAGAAGGTTCTTTTTAGGCTCATGCTGCACATCAGGAGAGCTCTGGACACTTGGAAAATCACTTTTAGTGTTTCTGGTGGATGATAGGGTATCTGATGTGTCAGTGCCCGAAATTTGTTCTGTGTCCTTCTGAAGTACCAGAGGGGGAATTGGGTTTCTGAGACACAACCAAAGTTTTTGTCATATGGACGATAATAACTTTATGGCCTCTAGAAGGAAAGCAGTCAGCAGAGTCAGATTGCATTTGGAGGTGTTTAGTCAGTTTGCAGTTTGAAATTGCCATGTTTTTCAAGAAAAAAATAGAAACAAGGAAGGACTCAAAATAAAGGTTACAAGATGTTTTTTTTTGCAGCCATGCCATAGATAGAAGAACCATGTTGGGTTCACCTTTTAGTGAACAATTCTTTTGCTTAGTGTGAAGAAGGTTTTAATAATCTGAAGAACATTTTTCCACTATAAAGAACCTTGTGCAATGGAAAGTTTCCATGCATGTTAAAGGTTCTTCATGGACCCATAGATGCCATTACACTCTTAAACATGAAGGTTCTTTATTGCTATCTTTGATTCCATGAAGAGCATCCATGGAACTTTTCCATTTGACAAAAGGTTGTTTATATTGGAGTAAGGTTCTTTAGATGTTCGTCACACTCAGAAAAAAATGGGTCTTTTTATAACTGTTTACTTAAAGTTTTTTTGTGGAACCCAAAAGGATTCTTCTTCGGAACCTTTTAAGAGTGTGGAATTTCTGCCTAGTTTTGTCAGTATTGTTTTTCTTTTTTCCCCCACAACTTTTATCATTTAAACAATTTAATATGCATGCCATTTTAGATTTTGTTTGTTTTGATTTGCAGTTTAATCAATACAATAATTAAAATTAGAATGACATATTATGACATTTTTTAAATGATATCTGTTCAACATAAATCAGTTCAATTGAACTCCAAGCACAGGACATTACATTTGTATTCAAAAGATCTAATTATAATTTGCATGTTGTGCCTTAATATTTGTTTTTTGAACATACTGTACTAACTAAAAATAAATTGAGTTAAAGAAATATTTTCTCAATTTGGAAATGTCAAATGTTGTCCACTGCCTTGCGACAGTGAAATAACAAGGATTCCACGTTGAAGGACTAATTAAAAAAACCCTTTTCACAACTAGTGAGCCTGAACAGGTGAAACTCAACTAATACTTTTAAGGCTTGAGTTGGTGTCATATGGGAGCTGTGAGAACAGGTGTTAGGAACAGGCAGACAGCCGCTCTTTCCTGGGATATGTGCACAACACAAAAAGATGACACCTGGTCGGCAGAAGGCCTGCTTTTGGCCTGTATGTTTATTGTAAGACTGAAGAGACAAAGTAGTTATTGGCTATTTATAATCCTTGAGCCATCAGTCTAGACTGACAGGTTCCTGAAAGAATGGTGTCAGATGCATTATCCATTTCTGAGGGCAAGGTCATTTAGACGTTCACAAAAGATAGTGTAATTTGAATTTGTTCAGAACTGATATTAAGATTAGTTAGATATATAACAATAGTTCTAATTTTAGCCATGTCAAGCAAATATTTTTCATTCAAAGCAGTTTAGCCATCATCCACTCAGTTCATTCAGTTCTCTATATTTCACATTTCTAGCTTTACTGTAAGTCCAGCTAAAGACATCTGAAGCAACTAAATCTGAATAAAGAACATAATTTTCTGCAAACGATTCATAATTATTCTTGAAATGAGTTGAGGGCTGAGTTGGGTGATGGTAATGCTGTTTCTGGAGTCAGTAAACTTGTGGTGGGTTGATTGATGTCTACAATCTTTAGTTTTCATTTTCTGTTCTTAGCTCTCTGATCCTGTGTTTGTGTCACTGGCTTTACAAATTAGGGCCACACTACTCCGGTCTAACACCTATGACAGACAGACAATCACAAATACACTCCCAAAACAAACACAAACACACATTTGTCTTTTTGATTTTTTCCATAATGTAAAATCAGCCATCACTAACGCTAATAATCTGCAAATTTGATTTAATTTAATTTGATCAAGAATTAGGAGTGTATGAAGAGTGCAGAACATAACAGATCCTTGTGACTCATTGTGTGATATTTAGCAGTAATGTTCATTAGCATATATTTATAGCCCATTACCTCACTGGTGTCCAAATGGTTTTACCACATGATTGTAAACATTGATCGCCCAACTTACAGACTTACAGTTTGACTAACAGTTTAAACGTAATTTGATTAGAAATATTTACACATCAAAAGCATCTTTAAAGTTATATGTGCAAACAGGAATGTTTAGGTATTTAATTGGAAAATAAAATAATAATTCTCATAAAGAAAAATCAGTTTTACTGTAATAATCACACAAGACCATATTTTGTAACATGTTCCAACATGTAGTTACAGATGGATGAGTTTAGGCCGGTTACATAACGTGTTAGGCTGTATTGTCTGTAGTTTGTGTTGCAGATCCAGTTTGGGTGTGGTGGTTTGAAACTGGTAACTAGCCCATGACTCTATCAGTCTGTTTTACAAGGCGGATGGGCGGAAACATAGGCCACCTTCACGAGTGTGAGCCAGTGATAACTCCTCACAGTCCTAACCTTCTCCTCCTTACTGTAACCCAAAACCCAAGCATTACTGTTCAGGGACTAAAAATAGACAAGATTCTCTCTGTCTCTCTGCCTTGGAATGAAAGAAGCAGTGAGTACTTTCCTCATGTCCCATATGATCAGCGCGTCTACTGTAATAAGATAATGTTGTCAGAAACATGTTCCCAATACACTGTACCCTCAGACCCCAAAAGCTCTTCCTGAACACAAATACTAGCCTTGTTCTTTTAATTCAGCTGGGCTTTGTGGCATTTTACAATGTAAGCAGTTCCCTATCATGCCCTTTCAGTGGCTGGCTCATTTGGCCAGTATGAAAGTGAACTTGGACTGGAAAGCAGGTTTTTCCATTCATTCTCAACTTCTACAGAAAGCGTTGAGGTACTGAATAAAGCAAGCAGCCATTATTGTGCCTTATTTGCAAGCCAAATACTGTAAAACATGATTTTTTTTGTGTACGTTTCTGGCTTAAAATTTTAATCTCTCTCTCAGGGCCCGCTGTCTCTGGGCGAGCTGTGTGAATTGAGAGTACCATCGAGCAGCAAGAATGTCTAAGAGTGATCCCCGAGACATTGACGAGGATGCCATCCTCAGGGGCCTCAGCGCCGAAGAGCTGGATAAGCTGGAGTATGAACTACAGGAGATGGACCCTGAGGTACTATGCCGTACAACTGTTTGAAACTAAAGCATGGCCAGGTTACATTTGAGTAGACTTTGAAATGTTTTGCTACATGCACTTATTTTTGAGGAGACACCAGTGGTAGATAAGATATGATCTAAGAACATTAAAAAAAAACAACTTAAGACTGGAATACACTACACAACTTTTACCGAGAGTTTTGACACTTATGTTGCTTAAAGTCAGCCTGCAGATTTGAGTTCACAGATTTCACAGAAAATAGTGTAGTGTATGACTCTATTGTTTTTCAGCTTCAGATTATGATTCCATCCAGTTGTTTTGAGCCGATTTTCGAACACATTGTTTTCATTTGTCATGCATCTCCTAGAAACGAGGCGCATGTTTATGTGTGAGTTTTTAGAGTTCGGAACAGCATCAAAGTCTGATAGAGTGTGATCCTCAGTTGTTTGGGGTATAGTGCTAGTTTTTAATGTGTAGCCATTTACAAAGTTGGTAAGTGTATGATGCAAAACACACAATCAAATAATAAAGGGATAATGTACAGTTAGCAGGTCATTATCGCAAAATAAACTCCAACAAGGTGTTCAGGACCTCTGAAGCCATTTTCACTACAAACGAGGCACAAGACATGAAAGTAGTGGCGTTTCGGGACAGTGGCCTGATATAAACCTTTGCCATGGGCGACAGTGAATATTTGAAAATATATGACCGCTGAATGCTATGATTGACCAATCAGAGTCAAGTATTCTGGAGCGCTGTCTTATAATTAAGCATAATTGCTGCTGAACTTGGCTGTGCTCAGAACACAATTTGTTAATGATAATTACTCTTGTGTCCCACTGGGAAAAAGTCCTACGAATCCTACTACAGATTTTTTTTGTTTAAAACTCGATTTTGGAAGGATGAAGCAATCAAATGTGCATATGTGAATGGGTGATTTCTGATAGCAGAAATAATTTTAAACGTAATAATTTTCTTGACCTTTCAGAATGCCATGCTTCCAGCCGGGTACCGTCAGCGCGACCAGACCAAGAAAAGTCCCACAGGCCCCTTTGATCGCTTCGCCCTGATGGATTACCTGGAGAAGGAGGCCATGGAACACAAGGACAGTGATGACCTGGTGCCCTTTACAGGGGAGAAGAGAGGTACCACCACCACTGGATTGATATTAACATAATATTTCTAATATCTAACATTTTAAATCTCTTAGTAAACAAATGCGCTTTGAAATATTCTGCTGAAAGCATATTTGCCATTTATTAGTCATCATCTGATGCATATATTAAAATAAAATTCTGAACTTTTATAGAATTAAAATGAATAATTAATTATTTATCATACGTCATTTTCTAATTATAGTTGTATTATTTGTTTGTTTCTTTCATGTGCTTGCGTTTTAGCTGTAAGTAAAGTGACCATTTCTCTTTCTCTCTGCTGTCTGTAGGTAAAGCCTTTGTCCCTAAACCAGGAACAGGACAAATCCCTGCGGAGGAACAGATCACTCTGGAACCTGAGCTAGAGGAAGCACTGAAGAATGCAACAGATGCTGAAATGTGTGACATTGCAGGTGGGCATCCCATTTCTACTCAGTTCCTGTTGATTCTTTTCACATGATATAAAACAACTTATGATATCCGGTCTGGATAGGCATTACAACTCTTCTAAAACTAATCCTCACTTTAAACCTGTTATGTCCTGTAACGACTCTGACTGTAATCCAAATTTTGATCCTTGACTAAGGACTAATCCTCTATTTGCTATTGTAAACAGCTGATCACAATACCCCGTGCATGACATTTGTCAATCAAACCCTTTCGAATTTCATCTGCTCTAATTGTGTTGTACAATCAGTGTCTCATTTGACAACTTTTTAAAAATATATATAAAAAAGAAGCAGCCTAGCTGACTTCTAAGTGGAACTATGAATGGTGTAGGTCATGCACAGAATTATACCACACAGTATCTATTTCCCCAAGCTCAGCAGCTCACCAAAATAAAATGAGCAACAGCCAACTAGTCAACATGAGCAGAGATGGAGTGCAAACATTTTCACTCCATCTCTGCTCATGTTGACTAGTTGGCTGTTGCTCATTTTATTTTGGTGAGCTGCTGAGCTTGGGGAAATAGATACTGTGTGGTATAATTCTGTGCATGACCTACACCATTCATAGTTCCACTTAGAAGTCAGCTAGGCTGCTTCTTTTTTATATATATTTTTAAAAAGTTGTCAAATGAGACACTGATTGTACAACACAATTAGAGCAGATGAAATTCGAAAGGGTTTGATTGACAAATGTCATGCACGGGGTATTGTGATCAGCTGTTTACAATAGCAAATAGAGGATTAGTCCTTAGTCAGGATCAAAATTTGGATTACAGTCAGAGTCGTTACAGGACATAACAGGTTTAAAGTGAGGATTAGTTTTAGAAGAGTTGTAATGCCTATCCAGACCGGATATCATAAGTTGTTTTATATCATGTGAAAAGAATCAACAGGAACTGAGTAGAAATGGGATGCCCACCTGCAATGTCACACATTTCAGCATCTGTTGCATTCTTCAGTGCTTCCTCTAGCTCAGGTTCCAGAGTGATCTGTTCCTCCGCAGGGATTTGTCCTGTTCCTGGTTTAGGGACAAAGGCTTTACCTACAGACAGCAGAGAGAAAGAGAAATGGTCACTTTACTTACAGCTAAAACGCAAGCACATGAAAGAAACAAACAAATAATACAACTATAATTAGAAAATGACGTATGATAAATAATTAATTATTCATTTTAATTCTATAAAAGTTCAGAATTTTATTTTAATATATGCATCAGATGATGACTAATAAATGGCAAATATGCTTTCAGCAGAATATTTCAAAGCGCATTTGTTTACTAAGAGATTTAAAATGTTAGATATTAGAAATATTATGTTAATATCAATCCAGTGGTGGTGGTACCTCTCTTCTCCCCTGTAAAGGGCACCAGGTCATCACTGTCCTTGTGTTCCATGGCCTCCTTCTCCAGGTAATCCATCAGGGCGAAGCGATCAAAGGGGCCTGTGGGACTTTTCTTGGTCTGGTCGCGCTGACGGTACCCGGCTGGAAGCATGGCATTCTGAAAGGTCAAGAAAATTATTACGTTTAAAATTATTTCTGCTATCAGAAATCACCCATTCACATATGCACATTTGATTGCTTCATCCTTCCAAAATCGAGTTTTAAACAAAAAAAATCTGTAGTAGGATTCGTAGGACTTTTTCCCAGTGGGACACAAGAGTAATTATCATTAACAAATTGTGTTCTGAGCACAGCCAAGTTCAGCAGCAATTATGCTTAATTATAAGACAGCGCTCCAGAATACTTGACTCTGATTGGTCAATCATAGCATTCAGCGGTCATATATTTTCAAATATTCACTGTCGCCCATGGCAAAGGTTTATATCAGGCCACTGTCCCGAAACGCCACTACTTTCATGTCTTGTGCCTCGTTTGTAGTGAAAATGGCTTCAGAGGTCCTGAACACCTTGTTGGAGTTTATTTTGCGATAATGACCCACTAAAGTTCAAAAGTTTTGAGTAAGATTTTTTTTAAAATAAATTAATACGTTTTTTCAGGAAGGATGCTTTAAATTGATCAAAAGTGACAAGACATTTCTACTGTAAGAAGAGATTTATATTTCAATTAAATGTAGATTTTTTAAACCTTTATCTTCATTAAAAAATGAATCCAGGGAAAACACACTGTTTCCACACAAATATTAATCCGCACAACTGTTTTCAGCATTTATGATAATAATGTTTCTTGAGCAGCAAATCAGCATATTAGAAGGATCATGTGACACTTAAATTACATTTTAAAATAAATGAAAATAGAAACATTTGTTTTTAAAGTATAATATATATACAGTATATATATATATATATATACTGTATTTTTGAATGTAGTCTTGGTTAGCATAAGAGACAAAAACATTTAAAAAATCTTACTCGCCCCACATTTTAATCAATAGTTATTTTTAATATTCTTCATAAAATAAATTTTTAACTCTGTTTTCCTCTGTATGTATTGTGATGATATCAGTTGTTTCTCCTGCTCTGTTCCTGTGAGTCAGGGTATAGCTGAGATGTTACAGTCCAACACTACCCTGCAGAGCCTCAACATTGAGTCCAACTTCATTACTGCCCAAGGCATGATGGCCATCATCAAGGCACTGAAGGAGAACTCCACCCTGACTGAGATCAAGATTGACAACCAAGTAAGAGCCTAAAACTCTTCTTCCAAAAACATCTGATGGCATGAGTTTCAAATCTGAAAACGAAATTGTTCATGTGCATTCTCACAGCGACAGAAACTAGGCGACTCAGTTGAGATGGAGATTGCATTCATGTTGGAGAACAACCCCAGCATCATAAAGATTGGTTATCACTTCACTCAGCAGGGCCCGCGTGCAAGAGCCGCGTTGGCCATCACCAGAAACAATGATATCCGTGAGTGTATTCTCATATTATTTTCCCAAACATTGCAGCTAGTACTTGTCGTATAATATATATACAGTATATATATATATATATATATATACTGTATTTTTGAATGTAGTCTTGGTTAGCATAAGAGACAAAAACATTAAAAAAATCTTACTGACCCCACATTTTAATCAATAGCTATTTTTAATATTCTTCATAAAATCAATTTTTAACTCTGTTTTCCTCTGTATGTATTGTGATGATGTCAGTTGTTTCTCCTGCTCTGTTCCTGTGAGTCAGGCTATAGCTGAGATGTTACAGTCCAACACTACCCTGCAGAGCCTCAACATTGAGTCCAACTTCATTACTGCCCAAGGCATGATGGCCATCATCAAGGCACTGAAGGAGAACTCCACCCTGACTGAGATCAAGATTGACAACCAAGTAAGAGCCTAAAACTCTTCTTCCAAAAACATCTGATGGCATGAGTTTCAAATCTGAAAACGAAATTGTTCATGTGCATTCTCACAGCGACAGAAACTAGGCGACTCAGTTGAGATGGAGATTGCATTCATGTTGGAGAACAACCCCAGCATCATAAAGATTGGTTATCACTTCACTCAGCAGGGCCCGCGTGCAAGAGCCGCGTTGGCCATCACCAGAAACAATGATATCCGTGAGTGTATTCTCATATTATTTTCCCAAACATTGCAGCTAGTACTTGTCTTTAGCTGAAACAGGAAAAAAAAATTAATTCAGTTTGATGTTTGTTCCTACACTGAACTTGATATTTTGTGTTTATCCCATCTCCAGTTCGTCAACAGAGAGTAAGATGAAAAGAGGATGGAGTTTAGTTCATTTAGGAGATATCAGTTATCATGTGCACTCTTGGAGTCCTACAGGCACTCCAGTAACAGCCAGGACAACCCCTACAGATGACCCCGATATGCTTTTACCATTCGCCATCAGCCATTGTGGATATTATTATTGCCAACTTGATAAGACTTCATTGCTTTTTGTGGATTTCATCAACGAAAACTCCACCCTGACTGAGATCAAGATCGACAACCAAGTAAGAGCCTAAAACTCTCCTTCCAAAAACATCTGATGGCATGAGTTTCAAATCTGAAAACGAAATTGTTCATGTGGATTCTCACAGAGACAGAAACTAGGCGACTCAGTTGAGATGAAGATTGCATCCATGTTGGAGAACAACCCCAGCATCATAAAGATTGGTTATCACTTCACTCAGCAGGGCCCGCGTGCAAGAGCCGCGTTGGCCATCACCAGAAACAATGATATCCGTGAGTGTATTCTCATATTATTTTCCCAAACATTGCAGCTAGTACTTGTCTTTAGCTGAAACAGGAAAAAAAAATTCATTCAGTTTGATGTTTGTTCCTACACTGAACTTGATATTTTGTGTTTATCCCATCTCCAGTTCGTCAACAGAGAGTAAGATGAAAAGAGGATGGAGTTTAGTTCATTTAGGAGATATCAGTTATCATGTGCACTCTTGGAGTCCTACAGGCACTCCAGTAACAGCCAGGACAACCCCTACAGATGACCCCGATATGCTTTTACCATTCGCCATCAGCCATTGTGGATATTATTATTGCCAACTTGATAAGACTTCATTGCTTTTTGTGGATTTCATCAAATCAAAAGTTCTGATCTAATAAAATTGACCTGCTCCTTAATACCTCAGTTTGCAAACTTGAAAAAGACACCAGTTGCTCAGTTCTTTTTTTTGGTAATATGGTGCTCCCGGAAAGGTTTTTTGTAAATATTTGAAATAAAATATTACATTCTATATTGTCTAATCAGATTTCAGTTTCATTAAATTACAAAACCATCATTTAATCCAGGTTTGTTCTGTGAAAACACTGACATACACTTATGTGCAAAGGTTTGGAGTCAATAGGTTATTTACTTTTTTTTTTTAAAGAAATTTATATTTTTATTTAGCAAGGATGCATTAAACTGATCAAAAACAACAGCAAATACATTTTATTTACATTGTTACAGAAAACTTCTATTGCAAATACATTCTGTTCTTTTGAACTTTCTATTCACAGTACAGTTTCACAGTATCACAGTTTCCACAAAATAGTAAGCAGCACAACTGCTCAACATTGATAGCGATATGCTTTTACCATTCGCCATCAGCCATTGTGGATATTATTATCGCCAACTTGATAAGACTTCATTGCTTTTTGTGGATTTCATCAAATCAAAAGTTCTGATCTAATAAAATTGACCTGCTCCTTAATACCTCAGTTTGCAAACTTGAAAAAGACACCAGTTGCTCAGTTCTTTTTTTTGGTAATATGGTGCTCCCGGAAAGGTTTTTTTGTAAATATTTGAAATAAAATATTACATTCTATATTGTCTAATCAGATTTCAGTTTCATTAAATTACAAAACCATCATTTAATCCAGGTTTGTTCTGTGAAAACACTGACATACACTTATGTGCAAAGGTTTGGAGTCAATAGGTTATTTACTTTTTTTTTTTAAAGAAATTTATATTTTTATTTAGCAAGGATGCATTAAACTGATCAAAAACAACAGCAAATACATTTTATTTACATTGTTACAGAAAACTTCTATTGCAAATACATTCTGTTCTTTTGAACTTTCTATTCACAGTACAGTTTCACAGTATCACAGTTTCCACAAAATAGTAAGCAGCACAACTGCTCAACATTGATAGTAGGAAATGATTTCTTAAAAACCAAATCTGCATATTAAAATGTTTACTGAAGGATCATGTGACACTGAATGGTTGCTGAAAATTCAGCTCTGCCATCACAGGAATAAATTATTTTAAAATACAAAAAACAATTAAGTTGCAATATTTCAAAATATTACCATTTTACTGTATTTTTGATCAGATGTAGCTTTGCTCAGCATTTCTTTCAAAAACATTTAAAAAGTCTTACCAACCCCATATTTTTGAACGGTAGTGTAACTACTCTAATGCATTCTCAGAGCAGATGCTCTCAGCACACTCACTGTACAGAACAGCTTCATTATCAGTTATAGATCTGGACTGTAACAATTTAGATTAGATTTAGATTATGCATTATTGAATTAATGGAGGATTGAGATAAAATAATGCATGACTCATGTCATAACTTTAATTATATGATGACCCAAACCCAGAGGCACAAAACAAATGGAACTATTCAATATCCCATGGCAGGGCTTCCTGCTCCCCCTCTACTAACCTATTTTTACACACGAACCACCCAGTCATGAAACCCAGTCTCATGGGTTTGAGTTACAACGCTCCAAATATACTACTGTACCTTCCTCGAAGAGATTTATGCTTCCCATTTGGAACATTAACTACCATTATTGCCATTTTTAAAGACTAATATATACATGGAGTATTTTTTTTTTATTCTACACATTTGTGACTTCAAGCATGTAGGTTAATATGGGGTTTTGATTTTGGTGGCCGTCTAAACTTTACAGGCCTACATCAGAATGTGAAGTCCCACTATGCCAAAATCTGATGGCACCTTGCAAAGGATCAGAACGAAGCTGCCATTCCACATTCTGTTCTCGTTTTGGAATAGATTTGGAGCTCTTTCATCATACAACCAACATTCTGACATTGAAAGTAAAAGGATAATGTAAATATTTAAATATGAAAATATCTGTGAAAATACACCAGATGAGATTCAACACAATGAGGTCACAACCTCCTCACTTTATTCACATAGAAGTATTATAATTCTTTTTGCATGTTCTATATTAAAACAACCTCTGTTGGTTCAGATATTGTTTAAACACGATGGCAAGTACATAGTACTAATACAATTTGCAAAATGCAACAGCACAAACTCTTTTCCAGAAAGAATGTCTTATATTTTCGACCTTATTGTATATAAAGTAGGTCACAGAAATGTCATATGAGAGCTGTGACTAGAGACAATATCGTCATCTTGCACGCAGTTCAGTTTAAGTGTATTCTGAAGCATTTTTGGCAGTTACTGAACAGCATTGAGTCTGCTATGAAGATTCACTGCAAGGAGGTATCAGAGCCAGTTCTTCTTCATCTGAGTCAAACTCAGCATTCTCATCTTTAACCCATTTACCACTTCTGTCCTGCAGCCACCCTGAACTGGAACAGACAAGTGAGAAAAAAGGAGAAAAAGAGAATGAGAGATAATCTCGTTTTGGAATAGATTTGGAGCTCTTTCATCATACAACCAACATTCTGACATTGAAAGTAAAAGGATAATGTAAATATTTAAATATGAAAATATCTGTGAAAATACACCAGATGAGATTCAACACAATGAGGTCACAACCTCCTCACTTTATTCACATAGAAGTATTATAATTCTTTTTGCATGTTCTATATTAAAACAACCTCTGTTGGTTCAGATATTGTTTAAACACGTACAAACACGTACAAACAAGTACATAGTACTAATACAATTTGCAAAATGCAACAGCACAAACTCTTTTCCAGAAAGAATGTCTTATATTTTCGACCTTATTGTATATAAAGTAGGTCACAGAAATGTCATATGAGAGCTGTGACTAGAGACAATATCGTCATCTTGCACGCAGTTCAGTTTAAGTGTATTCTGAAGCATTTTTGGCAGTTACTGAACAGCATTGAGTCTGCTATGAAGATTCACTGCAAGGAGGTATCAGAGCCAGTTCTTCTTCATCTGAGTCAAACTCAGCATTCTCATCTTTAACCCATTTACCACTTCTGTCCTGCAGCCACCCTGAACTGGAACAGACAAGTGAGAAAAAAGGAGAAAAAGAGAATGAGAGATAATCTATGAGAAGCATACAGTAATTTATTGAATTCTATGTGGGTACTACAGATGAGATCATTTAGTTTTAAATGAATAGTACACACCCTCGGGTCATCCATGATGTAGATGAGTTTGTTCATCAAAAACAGATTTGGAGAAATTTAGCATTAGATCACTTGCTTACTAGTGGATCCTCTGCAGTGAATGGGTGCCGTCAGAATGAGAGATTTTGAAGAAACCAATTAATCACTGTAAACGGTTGTTTCTGGCCACAAGACTAGTCCATAACACATCCACCAGTGAAAAAGTCCATCCACTGTTGTCCTCTCACACCAAAATTTGAAAATGAAAATTTAAATGTTTAGCACTGTTTTTGCTTATAAATGGTGCTTGATCTGTGCATATTTCTCTCTCGTTAAAAATGTCTAACTGATGAATTTGTTACTTACAAACGTGCAGCTTTTCACTTTACAATATGTTAATTGGTGGGCTGGAGTCATGTGGATTACTTATGGATTATTGTGATGTTTTTATCAGCTGTTTGGACTCATTCTGACGGCACCCATTTAACTGCAGAGGATCCATTGGTGAGCAAGTGACGTAATGCTAAATTTCTCCAAATCTGTTCCGATGAAGAAACAAACTCATCTACTTGGATGGCCTGAGAGGGCAAGTACATTTTCAGCAAATGTTCATTTTTGGGTGAACTATTCCTTTAATACCTATTTGGATGTTAGCATCAGTTCTGTAGTCAGAATGTGAGTTAAATGTGAGTCACTGTGTCAAGTGTTGTCATACCGTTTTAATTTGAGGTAGTGTTCCAGTTCTTTGCGTCTCTCATCTGTTAGAGGCTCACACACAGTGCTGGATCCGTTCTTCCTCTTCTTTGTCTCTCCTTTTTCTTTAGTCTGTCCCTGATGCACTACAAATGACAATTAACATAATGCATATGGAGAATGAAAAAGACAGAAGCACAAAATGTCTACAGCCTTTAAATAAATATTTGTAGTACCTGTTGTACTAGTTGTTGCTATGGAGTCAATACTTCCTGTCCTAATGGACGAATGAGTTGATGAGTTGATATTGTTAATTTGATCTTTTCTGTCTTCTTGTCCACATCCTGATGATTCCAATCGTTCACTTCATGAATGTAGAAATAGATTAAATAAATGTGCAAAAAATTAAATAATCAATTAAACTAAAAAAGACACAACCAGCCTAGAGAGGACTATAAAAAATTCAGACATATGACACAAAGATGGTTCAGCTCACAGACATTATCTGGCCTTTCTGTGGCAGCTACTGTATGGAGCAGTTCTGAGTAGGGCATGGGTAATTTTACGTGTTTGGCTCAGTAGAGGAGCTGAACTGGAGGGTTCCTGAGGACAAGAGATAATGTAATGAGTATATGACCTTGTTATATGTGTATGTATTAAAGTCTGAGACCACACTGAAAATCTGTGATTTAAAATCAAAAATAAATCCTTCTAATAAAAAATTTGAACAAAAAATTAAAGAAATCTTATGATGTCAAACGAAGAAGAAATATTTAAGATGCTGTACTTTTTTGGGCCAAATAAATGACAATTTAAAGACAATTTTAAATTTGTGTAAACTTCTCATGTTCAGTGTTATATAAATTAAAATATGATATGATAACATTTGGATGGCTTTTTGAATTCTACAGGTTCATAAACTGGTTAAAGAATATGAATTCAGTTACCTGTTGATCATCTTCTGCTTTAACATAGTCTTGATGTCTTCTTTGATCAATTTCACGTAGCAGGTGATTCTTTTTGCCATAGAACCATTTCATTCCTATAAACAAATAGACCAAAGTGAAAATTAAATCCTGAATGCTGGTTTATACAGAAGCTGAGTAAATGCAAAGGTAGAATCTCACCTTCAATGTGTCGCTTTCCCTTCCTGAGCACCACGAGCATATCAACAGTGTCAAACACAGGACGCAGCTCTATCTACACAGTGGGGGATAACACATATTACTTAGTGAATGTTACTGATTTCTTTCTGCAATCCAAACAGCCTGCAATAAATAATCACCTTCCGGTTTTCAACAGAGTAGCTTCATCATCTGGGATGAAGTTAGACAGAAGATCTGCAACGCGTCGTTTCTTGTAAGAGAACGAGAGACAGAAAAACAGTGAGAAAAAGGGAAAAGGGACTGGTGCATGTGTACAAAATAACACATATCGGTCTGCTTGCTGTTTTTGTTATACCTTCAGTACATTTAGCTGACTTTGATCATCACCCTCCCTTTTGAAAGACATGTTTGGCGACCTGCAGTCTTGTTTATCCAGGTATTAAAAGCAGCTATTTCTTATTTCGCCACCACCGGCTTACTAACAACATCCCTTTCTTCCTGTTTTTGTCTGTGGAATTATGGGTAGTGATGTCTGATTCAAGATTGATCGAGTCAGTTCGTGAATGATTCCTTCGCAAATCGGACTCATCCCTTCAAAGCTAAACCACTCTCTTTGTATGAATGACTGTCCGTCTCAAAATAAGGTTTATTCGTGTTCAAGGCATGTAAAACCCCAAGAAACAGATGATGACGGAAAAGAACCGACGAATCATTTTAAAGCAGTTTATTGTCCAAAAGAATCGATTCGCTGGAGTGGGTCATGGAGGATCTTATATTCAGCTGACGCCATGGCAACAGAGGCTAAAATAATCTGTTAAGGGCTTGGGACAAATAAGTATTAAGACTGTCTGAACTTAAAATCTAACGGCTACCGGTAATATATCTCTATTATTTTTATGGTTGATGATTTACTTGATGTCTGAATTGTTCGTTTTTGGGGCGGCGCTGTTATTTAAGCGAGTTAAGTTAACGTTAGTTTAAAAAATGTTAAAACGTCTGTGGCTCTGCGTAGGACCGAGTTATTTTTTGTCACAGACGGTGTGCTTTATTTACTGGTTAAGTGGCGTTAAAAGCTTTCGGTTCGCAATGTCGATCGCTGACCAGTTTAATCTACCAATTAAAGCAGAGATTGTTTGTTTATTGTTGCAGACTTTATTTCTTTATTTAAACTGACTCATAGCAGAAGCTGTTATGTTCAGTCCTGCCGTCATGCGTTCAGCTGCAGTTCATCTGAAGTCATTATTAGTTAAAGGTTAAACGCTGGAGCTCGGGTCATGTCTTCCGATCACTCAGCGTCGCTGGCGGGGACTCGCGGCCTCCTACGCGGCCAGCGCACCCGGTCCTACGGCAGCCTCGTGTCCTCTTCATTATCACCCGTTAGACAAAGACGAATTAAACACAAAGTTCAGCCCGGTGAGACTTTGCAAGGACTATCACTGAAATATGGCGTGTCTGTAAGTAAACAGAAAGCAGGTATTTGAGGAATTTGACCTTTTAAAACTTTAGTTGGATGTAATTACTAAATTATCAGTGTAATGTACTTTCAACTTATTTTTCTGTCTTTACAGATGGAGGAAATAAAAAGGGCAAACAGACTGTACACAAATGATTCAATATTCCTGAAGGAGTCCCTCTTCATCCCCGTGCCGACAGAGTCTGTGTCTTTCACAAATGGAGTGGAATTGACTGAGGATGAAGCAAGTCCAGCAGCACAAATACACACAGAATTTTCTAATGAGATCCCCAAAAGCCAAACAGACTCTAGATGTGAAGCGAATGCTGATCTGTCACCAGTGGAATACCTGAAAAAGATAGACAGCTTGATCAATCAGTCCAAACAAGCAGCTGTGAAGACCTGCCAGGAGGGAGAGAAACAGTAAGTTTTCAGAATGAAATTATGACTGCTGTCATTATTGGGATACGGAGTTCACTTATTGTATATCGTTTTGTTTGCTGTCAGCTTAGTCGTTCAACAAGTACGAGCTCAATGGAAGAACCATGAGTCATATGACTTGGGGTTCCAGTGGGCATCAGCTGATTCATTACACCAAAAAAAAAAAATTGCTGTGGAATTTAAGGCAAGTTCACACCAAGGACGATACTACAACGATTAAGATATGGTAAGTCCTGAATTGAGAGGCCACACCTCAACTATAATGATAACAGCACAGAGGAACGATATTGTTGAAATCATGACCTTTTTTCCAGCTGATGAACAATAAAAACATTGACAGCCAAACAGAATCCATCCTGCTTTAAAGAGGTTGAGCATTTAAAATGGCCGTAACCGTTAAGGCTGGGACACACCAAGCCAAGCGACGGTCGGGCTAGTTTGTTTGGTGTGTTCCACTGGTCTCGATCATGTCACTACTAAACAGTGCTGTGAGAAGGATTAGATTTTTGCGCAGAAGTCTCTGATACAAACCACAAATGTCATGGTGAGTTAAACTAGTTTAAAGCCAGATGAAACAGCTTTGGTATTCTCAACAAAGCTGACATGGAAATAACTAAATGCCTTAAGGCTTAAGCCGTTCTAGATACCTTAGCAACTGTTACTTTTTACCATGGTGGTGCCATGTATGATACTGTGGAAGACCAAAGGTTAATTTGAATGAGATCAGAGTTCTACCTCAGTAAGAATATTCATATTTTACCCTTTAAAAAAGATTTTAAATGTTTTTAACATTGTTAAATTTTTACAGATGATACCGTTTGTGTTAATGAAAATGCATAAATAAATCTGCATCCCAACTCAAGCTACAGCTTCAGTCAACTTAAGCTATGTCCAAGAGACAAAACATGTATTATTGTAAATATTGCTGGTGCCACTGGTCTCAATTGTTGGTCTGGAGTCTTGTATATATGCCCTGTATGTGTGCATATATGCTTTATAGTTATTGTTCTTGGTGTGGACGCCCCTTATCTTTGAAACAATTTATAATCAGAAATTGCTAATGAATCTTACAAATATTTACAAAGAAATGTCAAGTAACACAATGGATTAAACAAAATTTTGAAGTAGATAAACTGATGTAGTATTTTTCTTGTAAAACAAACTTAATTAATCTTTGTTTGATTCACAACTTCGAAAAAATTAGTGTACAAACCTATGTTGGAAATCCATTTTCCACCTACAAGGAATCAATTACAAAAGCTTTTTTCATACATTTAGCATACCATTTCCAGTAATGAAATTGCTTAAAACGTTCACATTTGCATTTAAAGGTTTTCATCTATGGAGCAACTCCATCACAGCAATCTGACGTCTGACAAAGCATCCTCCCAGCATGCCGTTTTGGGAGCTGTTCCCATTACAATCACCAGACGGACCAGGAATCTGAGGGATAGGGAGGATGAGATCTTCCAGCTCTGATGTAGGCATTTATTAGGACTCTTCTGACTGTTTTCTTTGTTGTTTTAGAGGTCTCCCTCATTGGGTTTCATGCCTTTAAAATGTGGAGATTGCTGGAGCGATTTGGAATAGTGTTTTTCATGAAACTACTACCAGCTTTAGACATGCACACATATTAGCACTGTAAAAGCACTGTAGCTTGATGCCTAAAAGTAATAATGTGAATTATTATAATTCTGCTGTATTTTTTTTATGAGCGTAACCAAAGTAATGACAGACAGTTTTGTGTGTGACGTAGATGACTGCATTTGAGCGGAACTATTTAGGAATCTAGCTTGAAAAAATAATGCACTTGCTTATTGATACTGATTTTAATACTACCTCACAATTGCTTTGGGAATGTGCCACTGGACATCTTTCAGATGGTGACCTGTCAAACCTGTGAACACAATGCATAGTTTTGCACTGCAGTCACATGCTCGGTTTGCTGTTTTTCTGTTCTATTTACGTTTTGCTAAAGTGTAATGCCCTTTGTGGTTACCAAAATATGATAATAAATTTGTTCGTTTCCTGGACTGGTTTGTGTTTTGCATTTGTAAACGTCAAACACGCAGTCCTCCACAGTAAATTAATGCAGTATGAAACGATCAGATTAAATGCCATAAACACATACAGATCTTGATCTTTTAACTTTGAAATCTTGAGTGATAATCAGTAACAAAAAATGAACTAAGTTGTAACATTACACACAACAGTTAACGTCACAACTGAATTGCACCAGTATTCCTTCAGTCATGTGCATTTCTAACCTAGAATTAATGGATTGTGTGTTGATACAAGGTATTAGGGTGTGTATTATGAATATGAAAGTTCTCCAGACATCAAAATATAATCATTTTGCTTTTGTAAGCAGTTTCTTGTCATAAATACAAATTCTTTACACACACAAAATGTTATGTAAGATTAGCTCAATGCAAATAGATGGCTTACAGTAAAAACAGTAATATTGTTTTATATTACAAATTTAAAATAACTTCTATTTTGATATTTTTTCAAATGTAATTAATTCCTTCGAATGCAAAGCCGAATTTTCCGCAGCCATTACTAAAACCTTCATTGTCACACAATTCTTTAGAAATCATTCTAATATGCTTATTTGGTGCTTGAGTAACATTTCATATAAATATCAATTTTGAAAACAATTGTGCTGCTTAATGTTTTTGTGGAAACCATGATACATTTTTCCGGATTTTCAACACAAAGATGAACAAAACAGCATTTATTTGAAATAAATCTTTTGTAACAGTATTAATGTTTTTTTTCTGTCACTTTTGATCAATTTAACACGCCCCTACTGAGAGTATTAAAAACATCTTACTGATCCCAAACTTTTGAACATTAGTGTGTTGCAAAACTGTATGCAAATTACATAAGCATAAGCAAGTGCTGTAAGGAAATGTATTTAGTGGTTGTTCCCTTTTAGAACACAGCCGATCCCCCTCCTGGCTGTTCATGTCAAAATATAGTTGTTGACTGTGTAGTGCCAAGCTTACATTTGTATCATAGCCATAACCACCGGGTAACACTAGATGGCAGTGTGAATAGAATGTCTTTCTAAATGTGTTTGTGTGTTCCGGTTCTTGTTATTTTGTTGTCCTAGGAGGTAAACAATCAGCTCAAAAATGTTAACAGTTTTGAACAATACAATGTGCTCAAATTTAGTTGAGTAGTTGAACCACAGTGGTTTAGACTTCATTAATAAAAAAATAAGTAGCCTTGAAACCCTCTATCCAACGCAGCTGGAGTCTCCGAGCTTAAAAAATTGTTCAGATGATATTTTTACATTTGATCTGAGCTCGCTCAGGCAGTAACAGTGGTTGTGTTAACAGTATCAGGCCACTAATATTTATTAATTGCACAGCAACTCTATTTCAGGGGTTGAACTGAAGTGTGACCCTTTCAGTCAGTCACTTTCTGCCTCTTTGGTGGCATTGTATGCAGTCTGAGATAAAAGGTGGTCCTCCTTTTAGTGCTTCACCGTCCTCATAACGTCCCGTCCTCCAGCAGTTTGTTAAGCCCGTTGCAGATTTTGGTGAGGTGGTGTTTGAGAGGCCCCGATGTGTTGTAAAGCTGGGTGAGGAGCTCGGGGTCAGCGTAATGGTTGAAGACGTGGTTGATGCGTCTGTGAGATTTTGGTGTGAGGTGAGTGTTTACAAGCTTCAGAAGCATGTCCCTACTTTCTTTCAGGATCTCTGACATAACTGCTTTGTCAAAGGTGAAATCTACCTGTAATGGGAAAGAAGAGACGTTTGTTGGTATAAAGATCAAATCTGGTTACAAATAAGGTTGTGTTCAGAACCACACCACTTGCTTTGTTGAAAGCTGGAAGCAGTTAATGCCACTTAATTATCAGTTGACAAATAATTGACACATAAATCGATTGTGATTTTGTAAAGGAAAAGTATCAAAGTGTCAAAGAAATGCTTACATAAATGCTTAAAAATACTTAATTACTATTTTTGTTCATTAAACAACAATAAAAATAAAATAATTAAATTGATTAAATTTATATTAATTAAATTACTCAAAGGCATGTTTTAAATAATGTGACTGAAAATGGGCAAAATAATTTTGTGAAAATTTTCCAATATTATTATTTTTTATTATTATATTTTCCATTATATTTTTTTGTTATTGTAATTTTTTTATTTATTTAATCAATGTTCTTACATTGCCAGATGTGACTGAAAATGGCAAAAATGCTTTTGTGCAAAATGTTATTTTTCCCATATGTATTTTATATTTTATTTTATTTTTGTAATTTCTTGAATGTTGTCAATAGTCAAAGTAGGTTAACGATATTGTCAGAGGTCACCAACTGTTTTTTTTTCCCTCTGGAAAAAATAATAATACACACTATCAAAACTTTAGATGGCTTTTTACCTTATGCAGTGCCACAAATGTCCCCATAGTTTAAAATTACTTGCTTTTTGATTTTTTTAAATAAACCTTACCTGAGTTTCATGAAACAGAACATAAATTCAGAAAATACTGCTTAAAGGTGTTAGATGCATGTATTGTGTACCTCGTGGAAGCTGATGGCTGTCATGGCTCCCTGGTGCAATTTCTTTTGGAAATTCTGGGCCAGCTTTAGCTCCTCATCATTGAATCGATTGTGCCTGAAAAGGACAGCTATCTTCACCACCACTTTAATGAGGTCTTTCACCACTTTCTGGGCCTCTGAGCGGTTCCCAGTGTACTCCTTTGACACACGGTAAAGCTCATCTAGAATCTCGCTGCTGGTATCATCGATGAACATCTGCACCACAGACTTGTTGGCCATTTGGCTCAGGATCTTTTTCTGGGCCTTGAGCGCCATGTCTTTGGAGCTGAACGCCTCCATGTCTTAGAAAGAGGAGAGATTTACAGTAATTCTAGATGCTGATTTTTTTTTTTGTTACCTCCTAATACAGTGTGTTTTAAGTTAGTGTAACCCCTCAGTAACTTAAAAGTATATATATATATAAATATATGAAGTAATAATTCAATGTTTTATTTAAGAGACTAGCATAATAAAAAAAGATTTACTCATGAAATAGTCTAAAAATATGTCATTTAAAGTGGCATATAGATAAGATTTATGACAAGTTATGGGAATGTTTATGAAATATTCCAAGTTTAAAGGAATAGTTCACCCAAAAATAGGAATTTTACTTACGATTTAATCACCCTCAGGACATCTAAGGTGTTGATGATTTTATTTTTTTGAAATTTGCCTGTTGAAAAAAACAGCACATGCTGGTTAGGTATGTTTTGAAACATGGCTGCTGGTTTAAGCTGGTCCTTAGCTGGTTATGAGCTGGTCATGTGCTGGTCCTAAGCAACTAGCTCCTGCTCAGGACCAGCTCAAACCAGCAGCCATGTTTCAAAACATACCTAACCAGCATGTGCTGTTTTTTTTCAACAGGGTTCATCATTCAGGGTCCATCAGAACAGATTTGGAGAAATTTAGCATTACATCACTTTCTCATTAATGGATCCTCTGCAGTGAATGGGTGCCGTCAGAATGAGTGTCCAAATAGCTGAAAAAAATTGTAATCCACATGACTCCAGTCCATCAGTTAAATGGTCCATCATAAACCAATATGGATAGAGGGCTTGTATTTTAGCTGAAAGCAATGGTTTGAATTTAAAAAGTCTTGATGGATTTGTTTCTTACAAACACCTTTTCACTTCACAAGACATTAATTGATGGACTGGATCATGTGGATTACTTGTGGATTATTGTGATGTTTTTATTGGCTGGACACTCATTCTGGTGGGACTCATTCACTGCAGAGGATCCATTGGTGAGCAAGTGATATAAAGCTAAATTTCTCCAAATTCCTTTAAATTTAGATAACATTTTTTGTGTAGAATATTTAAATGCAATAATATTAGTTGAACTATGATTTGCATGCACATCCTGTATGCATTTAGGCTGTAGTCTCTGATGTCCAACACAGCATAGTTTAGCATTGCTTCACAGATCGTATAGTCAGGAGAACGTGCAAAGACATGTATGAAAGAAAGAGTCACTGCATAGTACTTACAAGTTCCTACGTGAATCTGAAGATTGAATCATTATACAGGCATCTATGTGCCTTGAAATTTCTTCAGTGTATTGGTGCAATTTTTGAGGTCTTGCATATTTCCTTCAGATATACTTGTCATTAGTGATGATCTTTTTGTGCTGTTTATTAAAAATCCTGTACTACATTAACAAATGCAATAACTGCAAAGTATATTAATATGCAAATGACCTGCACTGTTCTTTTAAATGAATCAAGACATGCCGAAAGTGATGTCATATCTCAGTCAATCCAATTCTGTTTATGATGAACCAACCTGATTACATTTTAATGCAGTTAGAGTTTCATTTCCTAATGAACTCTATTTAATTAGAAGCACTGAGTACATTAGAACAGCCATTACTTTACATTCTGTGACATGGAACGTCAAAGCAACTATATAAATACTCATTTGAACAAATCAGCATGTTGTACACTGTTAAACTGTGAAAGCAACATAATCCTACGGTTTAAAGGGGTCATATGATGCATATGATTATTTTTTGTATTTGGTGTAATGAAATATGTTTCTGCGGTTTAAAGTAAAAAAAAAACATATTATTTTCCACATACTGTACATTATTGTTTCTCCTCTATGCCTCGCCTTTCTGAAACGCGTCGATTTTTACAAAGCTCAGCGGTCTGAAAAGCGAGGAGTGCTCTGATTTGCCAGCTATCTAGTGCATTGTGATTGGCTGAATTCCTCAAGCGTGTGATGGAAATGTTACGCCCCTTACCATACTGTGATACATGTCCCTGAGCGACGAGACAAAAACATTAACACCCATTATAAACGAGGCATTTGTTGCGTCCAGTGGGGACATAATTACAGATTATAATGACTTATACTGTCTTTTTACGCGTTGCGTTGCATCGCGCCGCGTAAACATAAAGCCATGTCTGCATTTGTGATCGGAGAAACGCCAAACAACAAGTGCTACTCTACACTGCTCAAAACTCGCGTTTGAATCATCAGTGGCAAATTCTTTAAATATGAATATGTACTTACAGTCTGTGAGTCAGAACAGCCGTAGTAGTCTACTCTCCCAGGATCAGGAAACAGTCCTCCATAAAATGCGTAGCACACATCTGAATATTTGGGTTGAACTGTTCTGGAACAGTGTTGTAAATGCAACTTAACCACTGATTTCTAGTCGTGTGCTCTTTTGGAAGGCCAAGTCTTTTTGCTTTCGCAACGAAACACACAGCGTCTTCACAACATGGAGGCGGCGGTGGCAGCAAGAATAAAGTTACACCTTCTTTCTTTGCGTGAACATTTGGGCGGTGTTATGCAAATATTCCCACACAGTGACGTAGACATGTGGAGGCGTGTTAGAACGAGGCGTTTTATGTAGGTGTGGACTAGTCTTAACTTTTATAAAGAATATCTCTTTGGGTTTGAGACTTTAGTCTTTGTAACTTTAGGGATCTTATATATTCACAAACAGCTTGCAACACTCCAAAGAGAAAGGAAAATTTGTAGGTAATAATTTTGTCAAAATTATTGATTTTTATTTTATACCAAAAATCATTAGGATATTAAGTAAAGATCATGTTCCATGAAGATATTTTG